ATGGATTGCTGTACTATACAGCTGTTGCCGACGACACGCCTCGTGTCGTCGTACCCGCTCATCATGATTTGCGATTGCGCATCATGTATGAGTGTCACGATGCCCCAACAAGCGGCCATCGTGGTAGAGAAAAGACTTACCTCACAGTAAGTCGTCACTTTTACTGGCCACGCCAGTATCAGTTTGTCCGCAAGTACATACGTGCTTGCGAGGTTTGTCAACAGGTGAAGCCTAGTCCTTCATCCCGTGCGCCATTGCAGCCTCTGCCTGTTCCGGCAGAGTGCTGGTAGTCCGTTTCAATGGACTTCGTCTTCGGATTCCCCGAAGACGCTCACAAGAATAATGGTATTCTTGTGTTTGTTGACCGATTCAGCAAGATGGTTCATCTTGCTGCTGTACCCGAGTCGATCAAGGCTTAAGGTTGTGCTCGTGTCTTTCTCGACAAGGTCTTTAGACTCCACGGGTACCCCGTGAACTCGTATCCGACCGTGATCCTCGGTTCACGGCGGCATTTTGGCAATCCGTGTTCCGTTCTCTTGAAACACGATTGAAGATGTCTACTTCTGACCATCCCAAAACAGATGGTCAGACGGAATGTGCGAACCGTGGCCTCGAAGAGACCCTTCGAAAATATGTCCACTCGTTTCCGAGTTGGAGCGAATTCCTACCCATGGTGGAATTCACCATCAATAATTCGGTGCATGCCTCAACACTGCACACAACATTTTACGTGAATGGTCCACGCCATCCACGTGTACCCGCCCTTCTAGAGTGTGACTCTTGGATAAGGGGGGAGGGACTCGCTCGAGCAAAAACCGTTTTGGCTCTTGCTCATCACGTGTTGACGCTAACGTCGTCAAGTATGATGCCGATGTCGATCAGGTCGACATCGATGAAGAAAATCGACCTCAATAATAGCGATGACGCTATTACTGACTCGGATGATGATGACGGTGCTGGTATATTCAGCATCGTCAACGATTATGCCAGCGAGGAAGAAGACAACCTCGCTTAAGAAGAGAGCAATCTCTTAGCAGTGCGCACGAAGCGCACTGCCAGACAAAACAAAGAGTCAGCAGAGAACTTCCTGCTGACTCGAGAGACGGTAGTCCGTTTCGTTCAGGACTCCATCGCAAATGCGGTGGACCGTCAGAAACGGAACGCACACAAGAATGGAAGAGCAAATGTTCTTTCATTTAAGGCTAACGACCTAGTGCTACTGTCTACGGTAAACTTACCTTGACATGCAGTCACTAGTGTTGGCAGTTGTAAACTACTGCCGAAATACATTGGGCCATTTCGAGTGTTGCATCGCAAGGGCAATGCATACACACTCGAATTGCCACGTAGGATGCGCACGCATCCTACGTTTTACGTGGGGAGGCTTAGGTCGTACTGTCAGTACGAGCCTTCTTCTTCCGATGAAGATAGCCCCCACGTTCAAGAACATCCATCAAGTTCTTGTGTTCGCGCTCCAGACAATCCGTCTGGTCGCGCAGATATGATACCTCGGAACTCAACCGAGATATCTCCCCGCGAGCTGTCGCCAGCTCGCCGAATAGGGAGCGGACATCCCGCTCGACCTGAAGCTGCGCTGTGGCATAATCGGCGCGATCCCTCGCCCGATCAGCCTCGCGATCCTTGCGGTTCTTCCGCACGGTGTCGGTCAAAGCGTAGCGTAGCGTCGGTCGCGCTCGTGCTTCAAGTCATCGCGCAATTCATCGATTGCGCGATCCATCTCGTAAGGGTCGAGATGGTGGGCCTGGGGTTCTGGAGGAGGTCTTTCCTCCTCCACCACATCCTTTGGTGGATGCTCACGGTGATCAACGCTTTCTAGTGGAGCGTATCTTGAATCACCGTGACGATTCAGGATCAAGGACGAGCTACCTCGTCCAGTGGCGGGGGTATCCACCCTCTTGGAACAGCTGGAAGCCCCGCTCTCGGCTGTTGATGGATGTTGAAGGTCTCGTCCGCCAGTATGACGAGACCCATCCGATGAGTCCTGTGGCCCATCGGTAAACACGCGCCCAAGGCGCTTGTAGACGGATTGCAAGTTTGCAATCGCGTCACGCATCTCCTCCGAGAGATGTGCCCTTCCCCAGGGCGAATTTAGGGAGTACACATTCCTATGTGCACGCTGCGAGTTGTCAACACAACTCGCACAAGGGTATCCCCATGTGAGGCAAGGAATGCCTGCCTCACTAGATAAACAATGCAACCGGTACCTAGCACCGGTTGGCGTTCGCCGTTCGAACCTGAGGCGTGTTGCCTCAAGTTTCTTGAGCCACCCCTCTCGTCCAAAATTCTGTACGTTTTGGACGAACGAGTTTCACGCAGCCAAAAGCGATGATTTGTCACGCTTTTGGTTGCCGTTGTACCATCGATGTCTAAGAAAGACATCGAGATAAAAGTCTTCTTCAGCGCGAAAGTTGCTCGCGCTGGAACTCAAGCCGTGAAGCTCAGTCGCATCGAATAATGGTATTCGATGGTGTTGGCCTGTCTCGTGAGACAGGCTATTGATGAGTTGTTCGGGCAAACGCCACGGCTTCAACTCATCACGCTTCACAGTGGTACCCTTGTCGGTACCACGGCTCCCAGATTGACGACGGCTCGCGCCATCGTCATCACGCTCGTGCGAAGACGCACGAGCCGGTATTGGTAAGAAATAATATTCCTTACCGCCCTGATCATCGTCATCACTGCCGAACAGACTGTGATGCAAATCACGAGTCCGTTCGTTCGGCAGTGGCCTTGGCGAATACTGAGGCGTCGCCGGTGATCGAGACGCCTCTGGAACATTGCCCGATTCAGACACGTCTGACTCGCCAGAGTAGATGACCTCCACATCGGGGTCATCATGCGCACGCGGTGTGGTACCGCGTGCACCTGCAGCACCTGTTGCTGCAGGCGTAGATGGAGCAGCAGACGACGAATCGTCTTCCGCAGAGGCTGGCACAGCACCGGGCTGTGCGGGTCTTGAGTCACCTCGCATAGACATGTTAACTATGCGAGGTCACGCGGAAAGTGAATGGAACGGACCCAACAAGTGCTTCATGTCCCAATGGTGCCCAACGGGTGGCCGCCATATGTTTGATCGTCACACGGTGACTATCAGTTAGGGGGGGGGTGATGTAACGGGGCAGCCTGTTACATGGAAATTGTCATTTGAGAGATAATGACAATAAAGAATATTATGTTGAATATTCTTTTAACAATATCACCAATAGTGGCGATGTTGATGGGTCGACCAAAGAGTATGTTCATCGGTTGATATCTTGATGATATCAACCCACCAATCGCCGCAAGACGCGCAATGAGTGGTGACGAGACGTCACCATACACTCAGTTATATCATTATAATTAAGTTAAGTCACCTGGAGAGAAAGTAGTTAAAAGACTTAATTATGTTAATATAACAGTTCTACTTTTACCTAACCTACGCTTCCTCGTTTGCCTCGTGTACGTATGTCGGGCGCACCGAAACCCTTGCGTTAAGTTCACGCAAGGGTGTGCCCCGTTACATCGGAGATTCGTCATGTGGCGATACCATGGTGTTTAGTGCTTTGTGCAATCGTGAGGTTAAGCGCACGCACACCGATCTCTTCGAGTAAAGGTTTCAATTGACGTTTTTTGGCAACGTCAGTCTGGTGGGAGAGGGTGTAAAGGGGTCACGCGTCGGTTGGCTATCGACAAAACATGTGTGGCTCACACCGGGGATGAGATCGCATTGAAAGTGATAATAGAATACATTATCAGTTGTTGGGGGCCGACGTGTGTCAGCCGCCAAATACAATATCTTTTACAAGGTACGAATCAGAGCATTAGTGTCTAGATTGAGTAGGTTTAGTCTAAAGTGTCCCATTATATAAAAGCAAAATATGGTCCAGTTCCCGTTTTGATCGATTAGAGACACGAGCCTTCCTAAGGAATCTCAGGTTGTAAGGAGAGTCAATCCTTGTTAAGGCATAGGCTCCTGAGCACATTGTGCGGTCGATTCTGCATCGTTAGGTCCCTTGAACAAGGACCTGCAGCGATAAGCTTGTCGACTCGTAAGGTCGGGTTCTTGTCAAGAACTGCTTTGGTCACTGAGTAGAAAGCCTTCATCTAGCTGGGAGCTGTACTACCTCCGCTACAATAATGCTGTGCATACCCTATATCGCTAGTCGCGAAGCTACTGGTGTCATTTATAACAAGTGTTGAACGTTTCACTGAGGGGTTTCAGTAGACCTTAGCTGAACAAATGGGTCAAAGGCGATTAGCTATTCTCGAACACAAGTAGCCCTTGGTACTTCCACACTTACCAAACATTTACGAATACATGAACTGTTGATTTCGGATATTAGAGGGTAAGAAGAGAAAGTTCTTTGGACGGTAGATCTACGGTGGTAGGCGACGATTGTCCCATGCACGACCATATCGTTCTTGTCAGAAGAACATTACGTTACAGGTAATCACAAGATAAGGGACTAAACCTGGGAGTAGTAAGTACAACCGGCTTGAAGAGAAAACACGGATACATGCAACGATCCGAAACGAATCAACTTCATCTGTCCAAGCGAGAGCACCGATGTGCATGACAGTCTCCAGCCGGGCCTAGCTTCGTATGCTCGAAATAAGGGCGCCGAATGAGGCAACGCCCTCTACTATGGTTACAAAGCCCAGTATCCTGCTCGAGGTAAAGGTAGCCTTATTCCACAAAGAGGCATTGCACCATGTGATATATCGCCTTTACGTGGTAACGCACACGTGCATTGACACATTCCCTTCGCTTGACTTACACACGACGTTTTGTCCCGATACGAACGTCCCTCACTAGTCTAGAAGAAGCCGTCTCGCATCAGTATGGTCGACTTCTGCACTCCGTGTGCATCTCCATACCGATTCGCGCGGATAGGAATCCGACTCGTCACAATATGATCAACCAGACTAATCACTGCCGTGTTTCGGTAAGAAGCAAGTAGACGGATCAGCGGCACCAAACACACGGCATTGAGTCATTGCTACCTCTTTCTCGCCGCCATCCTTGCTCGTAGACGCTCTTTTTGAGCCATCAGCAACTGCTTCTTTGCATCCAGAGCGCACGCGCTGCTTTCGTCCGAATCCACCGTCTCACGAGCTGACGCAGTTCTCACCTCTTGCTTCACTTCCACAACGGACTGTTGTCGTGCAGCTGGCTGTCGAATTGGTAAGCGTAAAGGCTTTTGAGAAATCGCAGGCGTTATGCGTGCAGTCAATGTCTGCCTCGGCACGTTCGACGGACTGCACTTCAACTTCCCAGCTTCATCTCGAGCACTTACATTGTTTCCCACGTTTCCTGCTCTTCGAAACGCTTGCTTTGTCTTGGAGCGAGGCCCTTCTTCCCAAACGCCACCAAAGTTCGGCAGCCAGTTTGGACCACACTCGGACTTCGACTCAAGCACTGCAAAGATGTCTCTCCTCTTCGCTTCCGTCAGACCCTTGCTCTGCTGCTGCTGACTGATCACCATGCCACGTACTGGCGCCCCCTGGTCTCTCTGATTGCATTTTTTGTACTCCTCTTCCGTCTGCACCATCCATGGCGGCACGGCTGCACTGTGTATGTTTCCGACGCTAGCACCCCACGACACAGAGGCAATGGAACTACATCCTCGACTTCGAGCGAGCTCAGTCACTCGATGTGTAAGGACGTGGCCACTCGTCTCCGTCTGCTGCGTCTCTGCTGACTGCTCCCTCTGCTCTTCTTTCACCAAGCGATCGATCGGCCACAGCATGCACTCAGTCTTGCGCAGCTTTACGATCCCACCGCCCCACACGCGTCTACCTTCATGCCGTCCGACGGGGTTCTGCACCACTCCGTCAGCCGACACGACCGTCTTGCAATCCCCAGCCAGCGCGTGATCCATCAATGGGCCAAATAGGACTTCTTCATCCTGTCGTTGTTGCTGAGATGCAGCAGCAGTGCAAGTAGCCGTGGCAAAACACTCATCCACCTGTCTCCTCCTTCTCTCGGTCTCCACCTCCTGTAGTCTCGACGTTGCGGACGACAGAAAAGCTGCAACGCGCTCACTCGTCGCGTCCTTCACCTGGGAATGAATTTTCCCCTCTTGGTGTAACGGATTGTCCTGATCACTTGTGTTGCTTGCTACCGTCTCGAGCTTCCATTCACGCACAGACAGACACAACAGAGCTGTAGTCAGTCGTGCATGACATACGAGAGCAAGCGTAGCGAAAGCAGTAGTATATCCGGCAGCGGCATGACTACGAATCGTATTCTCAGTGCCGACACTGACAGTAGTGGCACGAGCAACAAAAGCTACTGGCAGCAACAGTCAAAGCACTAGCGTCAGACGACTAGCAGTCCAGTAGTGCTCGCCTCCGCGATAGTACTATCAGCAGCAATAGTAGTACTATCAGCAGTAGTAGTGCGTCCAGTAGTACAAATGATACGTGCCGTCGTTCATCTTCGCGTACCTCTCGACTTGGCTGCATCGTCTGCAGCCACAGTTGGGTCCGCATCTGTCGGTCTGCATCGCAGCGATACCGTCGGCAAAAGCCCCCAACCCGTCGCTGGTGGCGCTTCGTGCCAACGTGTGCCAACGCATCGGCTCGGGGCACTGCAACGGCGCAAAAGACACAGCGCCACGACGAGGCACAGGCGGCAACTGGCACTGCGTTCGCGTCACGCGCGAGCGCCGCCAGTCGGTGCCCCTCAAACAGAAGGAACCCGTGCGCGGCCTCTTGATGTGTGCGGGAGTAAAGGTGCTTGCGCCACGCGCCGGCGCTCGATCGACGACACACGAGGCAATAGGGCGCCTCCTTTACAGCGTCGTCGTGACGTGGTCGCCCATGCGCCAGTCGGTAGCAGCGGTACATGCGGTTGGACAGGAAGTAGCAGTAGCAGCAGTCGATGGACGACGACGACGACGACGGCTTCCCACCTATAGGACTGTATAGCTAGAGCTATAGGGATCGTCTGTGCCCATCTCCGCTCCCCGACACATGTGGCTACGAAACAGCCACCAGAAAAAGCGCTGTCAAGACGAAAGGCAGTCGCCATCTTCTCCGTCTTCTTCTTCGCGTTCTTCTTCACGTGGCAGCACTCGCGCGTGCGTCTGTCGGGCACGAGCGTGAGTCAACACGACGATACAGGAGACACGAGACGGGCCAACTGCCATTCAGTGAGCGCTACTGCCATCGAAACGCAGAAACGTCCGCCACGAATGTGTGTGCGGTAAGAACTCGTGGGTACTCGTTCCACGTGGTCAGCGGGGCGTGTGCCCTATGATTACGACGGCCCGCGCCGCCGCTCGCGTCTTACCTCGAAACGGCTGTTGAAGCACAGCTGGAAACGCACTCAACGGCGCGCACGAACAGCTCCGCTCGTCACGAGACGTGCGACGTCGATCGACTCGTGTTGTAGAGCAGCGTGTGCGGTGAGTGCGTCGACGAACGACTGGGAACATCCAGCGGCGGTCGCTCGGCCGGGAAGCGTTTAGCGTTCTCGCGGGCAGTGGAAACGTCCAGTTGCAGCGATGATCGACGATGGACGGGACCGCGTGGGGACATTGCAGGCGGTAAGTTGACCGGAGCGAGTGAGCGAAGGCACGAGCGACTGCGTGACGCACACGGCTGCGGCCGACTAGAAAGAGGATCGACGCGCTGCGTGGGCACAATAGGAGACAGCACCAGGTCGGCGCACGACGGCTGTTGCTCACATCCATAGCACGTACGAGTGCGTTGTTGTTGTGGTAGCAGGTGGCCATTACGTGGACATACATAGCTATGAAAATCGCTCGTCTGCTACATAGGAAGTGACCGACCGAATCGGTAGCCGACTATCGAAACGCATTGACACAGCCCGAGCTCGAGCGCACTTTATCTCTCCGAGAGAGCCATATCTCGTGTCGGTGCAATGCTCAACTCTTCGTTTCAACTCGACTCTCGCTCTCTCGCTCTCTCTCTCTCTCTCTCGCTCGCTCGCTCTCTCTCTCTCTCTATTCGTTCGACCGTTCCCTCTTCGTCCGTATAGACGTTCGCTTGTCCCAACGTTTGTCCCTACGTTTGTCCGGTTGTCCTTCCGTCCGTCTTCCTACTGAAAGGATCGCTCGCTGTCGAACAATCGGATCGCACACACGAGCCGACGCTCGAAATGACACCGAGCGAGCGCTCACCTAACAGACGAACGAACGGCCGGACGGACAAACAAAGCGACAGACAGACAGACAGACAGACAGACAGACAGACAGACAGACAGACAGACAGACAGACAGACAGCGACAGACAGACAGCGACAGACCAACTGACCAACTGACTGACAGACCTTTTTCTTTCTTCTTCTTCTTCGTCTTACCGCAAGAGAGAGAGAGAGAGCGCGCAAACGAGTGGGCGAACGAACGAACGAGCGCGCGCGCGAGCGAGCGAGAGAGTCAAAGACATAAACACGAGGCACGTCACGTGGTCGTCGCTGTCGTCGCTGTCGTCGCTGTTGCCCTCGCCGCGCTCCGGTCATTCTGGGCTGTTCAATGTCGCTGGCACCAATGGACGCCCGTCGACCGGCGTCCATTTCGTCGTACTTCGCCCACTCGCAGCCGTCGACACGTTCCTATCGCCTGCTGCTCCGCGTCTACGCGGCGGAAGGGCTCCAGCACGTCGCAGCGACCCACGGCACGTACTGTAAGGTCTACGTGGGCCACACGGAGATGCTCCACGGCAGCAGCTCGTTCGCGCGCCGCACGCAGCAGCTCACGTCGTCTGCTTCGTCGCACAGTTTGGCGGGTCTCTTGCACTCGTCGTTTGGCTCCAGCAGCAGCACTGGCAGTAGCAGTAGTCTCAATAGTAGCGGTAGTGGTAGAAGTCGTAGTATGAACAGCAATAGGACCCACTTGAGCAGTAGTAGTCACAGCAGCAGCAGCAGCAACAACAATTGTAGCAGTCGCAGCCTCTTAGCTGCGTCGGGGCACCACGTGGGAAACCAGCGGCTGGACACCACTACAACGAGCGTCCGCAAGACACAGACCCGGAAAACCACACGCGCGCAGCCTCTGGTCTGGAACGAGCGGTTTGACATTCCCGTGGAGAACTTTGATCAAGACGTGCTGAGCATTCGCGTCAAGACGGCGCGTCTCATGGCTTCCTCTGCTATTGGCGCGTGTTCGTTGTCGTTGAAGCACGTGGTGACTTTGGGGGCCCCAACGCTCGATCGGTGGGTGGATTTGAAGCGCGGGACGAAGTACGCTGGACGCATTCGACTGCAGCTGCGACTTGTGGACGCGTCGACATCCAGTGGACAGGACAGTAACGTTCCTGATACCTGCAGGTCGCAGGACCGGGATACGCACTTGAGTGTCCCGGGCGAAGAGACGCTGGAGGATATCGCGGCGCGGTCGCGGAAGTCGTCCAGACGTGGCCACAAGTACCATCGCTCTGCCCGGCGGTTTGATGGACGACCTCTGACGAATACAGCATTGGCGAGCAGCTGCAGTACCAACAGCAGCAGTAGTAGCAGCAGCCGTCGAAGCAGCAGTAGCCGCTTGGCCAGCGACAAGGACAACAGCTTGAAGCGGGTGTCGACACCACGTCGATCGCTTCGGAACCATAGCAGCAGTGCGACATCGAGCGAGTCTATCGATGATGACTCGAATCCTGCGAGCGATGAGTCGGCCTCGCCCATCGTGTCTCCAAGACGCGAGCGATCGTCGAGTGAAGACGGATCGGTCTTTTGCGATGTGGATTCCAGCTTCGCGATGGACAGACGAGCGGCAAAGGGGCCGACTTTGTCTCCTTTGGTGACACCTGGTGCTATGGAATCGTACACGCGGATGAGGCGATCCGAATTAGGTGAGTTCAGTCGGTGTTTGCTCGTTTGGATGCTTGGTATGAAGAGGCTGAAGGGTTGGTTGTTAATATGTGGTTGTGACTTGTTTTTATAGAATACTCGAAGGCGAAAATTGCTAATGTCTCGCGAGAACCGAGGACAGTAAAGCTGCCTGAGAACGGACAACGGCATCTCCGAGAAGACGACGACGACGACTTGGACGAGTGTGTGTACCGATGTAGCTCGAACATGAGTTCGATAGACAACTGTACAAAATCGAGCGTGTTATCGAGCATTTCCGACTCTCGCGAGAGCTCCAGAATGGACTTTGATGATGATGACGATGGATGGGGCCCCGTCAGCACGACGAAAGAGTCGCTAAAGCACAGATCTGGGTCGACTGCGCTATCAAGCGTGGCCTCCAGTATTTTTGACCCACGTGATAGCTCTCGGGTCAGCTTTGGAGACAGCGAAAGTGGAGATGAGGAGAGTGATGACGTCAAATTGGAGAAAGCACATGAGCAGCGGCGGCAACAGTGGCGGATGGAACAGCAAAAGAAACAGCTTGCGGCGATCGAAGAGAGGCCTTATTCCATGTCAGACGATGAGAGCGATCAGGAGGGTGACGAGCACGATGGACTTGAGTTGGATTCGTCACGGATGCAGTTCACTCCAACAATTGCGACCCTTCTGACTCGCGAGAGTAACAACGTTCTGATGGATGAGGAAGACGATGAAGAAGGTCCTGAGTCCCACAAGCTGAGCGAGGAGTTTGTGCCTATTCTCGAAGCTTCGTCTCCGATGTCTGTCGATTTCGTGGACAGCGCACTGCGTTTGTCAAGTTGTAGTAGTTGAACGAACTACAGCCTTATTTACTAGTCAAGTGTCGCGACGAAAGCAGTCGGAGCTTAGACAGGTGTTCCTGACTTCATTCAAGGGATACGATAACGTCCAGTGTAGCTGATGTCACGACATCGCACATCTAATCTACTGTTTATTATTCGAAGCATCAACGTTGATGACGTGTGTGGGTGCTATCGATGCAAAATGGTGAAATGCATTGCGAACCATGGCCGATAGCTGTGGCGAGCAGCAAGACGATTGATGTGGGCACCTCAGTACGATAGAAGTAGTAGCCGCTAAGTCCAAACGTTATCATGCAAGTTACTGGAACTCGATGGGCGTGTGGCTCGGTGCTTTGATAGGGCTTCAACTTCATCGCTTCGACGGCATTTGTGTTCTTTTGCGTGGGGTAAAGCAAAATAGCGGCAGTGAGAAAGATAATGCTGCATCTTGCAGTTTGGTCACGGCAATGATCCAGCTTCTAGTGGTACTGCGGAACTGTAGCGATGATTGTTCGAGCCCATATCAACCCATCATCAGTTTGCAGGATGGGGTGTCGAGGCATAAACAAAGGTCGAGCTACGTTTGACTTTCGCACTGGCTACAGGCAGCGCGCTTACTTCGTGCAACGTCTTGGGTCACAAAATGGTGCAGTTCCCACAGGTTCTATCATAGCGCCTTCTCGTTTGCATGCACTAACCTAGTGAGACGCATCTGTGGCGTGGAGGGCAATAGTTCCTGCCTGACTCGTACGCTGCGTGCTCTTCGTTTTGCTTCTTCAGCTACTCCCTCAGCACAAGTTTAGCCATGGCTGGATCTACGTACAAAGCCTTCGGACGCTGAGGATGCGAAAAACCGGTGGTAAACTTGCGGCGACGGCTGTCATGAGTTGCAACTATATGGTTTACAACGCATGTAGTCAGGATGGTCTGCTTTGCAACGAGTGTATGCGAAACTGAGGAACTTGCGCTTCGCAGTGGTAAACGCTTCTTCGTAGTACGTTGTGACGCTTTTGTAAAGGACTCACAAGAAGGCGTTCGTGCACATTACGTCCGCGAAAGAGCAAACCACCGAAAGCCATGGCCAGGCGGAGTCGATGAGCAAGTAGGGTCCTACTTTCTCGACGTATGTGCGCTTAGAATTTTCACAACCCTTTGCACCGAGTTTGGAACCAGCCGATCGTCGGCTCGATTGACTCGATCTTTACAGTTGCAGCATCAGGTGGGTGGATGGTGACGCTGGTAAACGTCTCGGGTAGACGAGAACAAGTCAGCGCTTGGTTTTATTTTGCAAACGCAAAGTCAACTTGAAACGCAGACCGCCAAACTGTTCCTCGGACTCAGCATTGCCTTACCATAAAGTGTATGGTACTTCCTTCAGTCGGGGCGTCAGAGACAAGTCATCGATTGGAAAAAGCTGGCGCTGAAGACGATGCATCACAACTCGGTGGCAATCACATTGTGGGCAGCTGTAGGGCCCAGCGCGAGAAGCAACGACGCCTGCTCTCGCAACAGCCGAGATCTCTTGACAATGCACACAGCCTCAGCAGACTCGATATTGTTAGCGATATGGTGTCTGTGGCCCAGTCGTTTGCTCCACACTCCAAACATTGGACCATGTCCTTGCACGATAGCCAGCTCGACGCTCCGGAGCAGCGATACTGCAACAATGAATGTACCTCGACGGACATTGCCCTCAAAACTGACCAGTACAATCCCAGAAAGATCGTGGATCACGCGATACGCATAGCCGCAAGAACGCGCAGCTCCGATTGCCGCAATCCTCATCAATGCTGGTAGGGTGAGAAAACGCACGGGACAACGAGGTTCATCGCCTGCAAACATGTCGACGCGGCGGTCACCATACGAGACCTCAGACCGTCGATGCAATCATTCTCTTCACCACCACTTTCTTACAGCTCAATCGAGCGATAAGGTGTCTACAAGCCAAGCGCGTCGTGCTATCGACTGTCCACTACCCTCTCCCACCAGTCAGCTAAGCTGCCGTTTCCTCAGCGGCCTTGGCATCTTTCTCCGCCAGCACTTTTTTCAAACGGTTTACCTGCGAAGAAAATGCCTGATTGCACTTATCGGTGAACGGCAGACGCATGTCGTACGCATCTTCGCCATCCGCGTAGTACGCCTTTTCAATGTCGTACACCCTACGACAACACACACAGCCAAATGCACGACACGGAACAACATCAGATACTGTCATGGCCATCTCTTGTGTCTCCTACAACGTACTGGTACTTCAGCGTTCGGCGGTACAGGTGGATAGCAGCCACATTGCTCTCACGCACGTGCAGTGACACGTACTCGGCGCCGAAACTCTCCACCATCGCTCGTTCTGTATCACACGACAAGGCAATAGAGCACGTGTGCCTCAATGAGCCAATACCTCGCACGTAAAAGCAGGCACAGCGACGTACGGGCTGCCTGCATGAGCTTCGTAGCGAGTCCACACTTGCGATGTGTACGCAGCACTGCCAGCGACGTGATGTGGCCGTGGGGCACCGACGCTTCTTCCTCCCTGCACACAACACATCCCTTCAGTGTCCCTCTCATATGGAATCGCCTCTCCCCTCGCTGACGCACATTTTGGCCAGCACGTAGCCGACGATTTTGCCACCGCGAGCCTCCGCGACGTAGAGCAGCTGGGGCCACGTCATGATGTGGTAGTAGTAGTACTTCATCTGGTAGTTCTCGGGCAGGCACCAGAGGTTCGAGTTCTGCACCTCGAGCAGGTCATTTGCCTGCCAGGTGTATACGTATACATGTACCACAACTCAGAGGTGAGCCCACCTGCACGATCCGATCCGCAGGTTTTGCCTGTGCAGTCGCTACAGTGTCTGCAACACGCGCTGGGGGCCACTGTGCTACGTCTATCGCTCGCTCACGCGGCCGGGCGGGCGTCGTACCGTCGCGTTCCTTATCGACACCATATCGCGCGGACGTCTGCACTCGATGCGCGCGCGCGTTCGTTTGTGGCTGGCGGGGAAACGCGTGCGGTGCGGACTCGTCGCTTAAGTACGTTGGCCTCGTTGCTGGTGCGTTTGGTACAAAGCGACTGTCAAAACATTCACTCTGCGCCTGCCGCACCCGCCGAGCCGATGACTTTGCAATTTGCGCGCTCGTCGGCACCCCCCGACGTTTCCCTTTTCCCCGCGCCCCCTTTCGTGTCTTTCCCTTTCTACGCGCTGCCAGTGTCGCTCATAGTGAGTGTGAGTGTGCGCCCTGTCCAGTCACTTGTTGATCACAGAGAGAGAGAGAGAGAGAGAGAGAGAGAGAGAGAGAGAGAGAGAGAGAGAGAGAGAGAACGAACGCGTTGTAGCATCATGGGCGACGCGGCTGTAGGCGACGCTCAGGCGCTGCGCCTGAAGCTCAAACTGCCGCGTTGCATGTCGACGTCGTCTGTGGTCGAGAAGAAGCTGCTCATTGGCGCTCGGGGGGGCGCTGCGGTCAAGGAGCTGCTGAGCACAGCGCCGAACATTGAGGTGGCCATCCGAGAGTTCCAGACGGCGCACGGCGTCGCAGAGGCCCACGCGCAGCTGTTTGCGCGCAAGAGCGAGCGCGAAGGCAAACAGACAGAGCCACGAACGAAGTTGACGCCAGCGATGCAGCTGCTGGATCTACTACGCGTGCCGCGCACGAGTTTGTACCATTCGTTGCTGGACCAGATGAAGAAAGAGATGCTGCTGCGTATTGCCGACTTGCCGCAGAGCGATCTGCCGCGTGTGCTGGAGCAGACGTTTCCATACATTGAGTTTCGAGAGCTTCGCGCTGTTCCGATTGCGGTGTTGGCTCGACAGGACGAGACGCCTGCGTTGTATTTACGTGAATTGACAGAGAATCGGCGCATTCTGGCGGAGTTGCCTGTGCACGTGCGGAGGAAGATTCTACAGGTTGACAAGAGAGAGCTGCAGCTGCTGGTGGAGGAATGTACGCGCGAGTATGTGACTGATCAGTTGGAATGGTATTTGAAGCACCCGGTGTCGGAGTCAGTCGCTACACAGCGCTCGTTGTTGAGGAGAATGAGCGACAAGAGTGTGCAAAACGGAACGCCACAGAGGAAACACACTGCAGACGAGTCGCCTGGTGGGAGTTTGTGGAACGTCTCGAGTCACGTGCCGTCTTCCGCTGATGCTGCAAACTCGTCGCCATCGGCAGCATCTGGATTTGGCGGTAAGCGATGTCCGTCGTACTCGCCAGATGAGCGTCGACGCAACAACCCGGCGCTCATGAAGCTGGTCGACATGTTTGGCGACTCAGAGGCGCTATATCTGTCAACATTGGAGATTTGGCGAGGCTTCTTGGTGGGTGCAAACATACCTGGTGGCGCTGTGATTAATCACCCGAAAGAGTATGTGGACTATGTATCACTTCTTGGTGCTATGCGCAACGATCTTGCGAACTTGCAGCGTGACAAAACAACAGCACTCTTGCGAACAGACCCATTGCACAAATTTATCTGGTTTTTGGATCGAGCGCTAAAGAATCACACGCTCGAGATTGCTCAATTGCACGAGCTGCTGGGTTTTATCGGTCGACTACGCACGTCGGACCTTCCGACCGACAAAAAGTTTCGAAAGAAAAGCAGTGCAGAAGAGGAAGAAGAGAGCTTTGAAGTCGTGCTGGGGCCACCCGCGGTGGAGGAACTGCTTGCAGTGCTTGACAAGATTGCTAAACTCGATGTGCGGCTGATCTTTGCAGAGCCCGTGCCGGATGACGTGCCGAAATATCGGGACATAATCAAGGATCCCATGGACTTGTTGACAATGCGACGAAAGGCAAAGCGCGGCAAGTACAAGACACTCGAGGCCTTTGTGTTGGACTTTAATCTTATGATCCGCAATTGCATGACATTTAATCCGGACACGACCATCTTTTATAAGGAAGGAAAAAGAATCGGCAAGCGAGGCAACGAGATCATTGAGCGAAACGCTACAGCTTTGCGTGGTGAGCCTCAGCGGATCCGCTCTAAAAAGCGTCGAAAGATGGGAACCGGTCCGACGAGCGAAGCCCTGAGCATGCTCACCAGCTCGGGAGTGGTAACAATTAAGGACTTCGGAGATGTGGACCAATCTGGAATGATCCCGGAAGGGTTGTGCGACGAGCAGCTGGCAGATGTGGCATTAGTTCTATCAGATCCGATCGTGAAACAACTCATTTGCGATGCTTTGATGAAGAACCTCGTGACGTGCTGGCAAACAAAAGAGTTGCCCACTGACAATCTGATCTGCCGCGCCCTCGTGCAACTTCTTCAAATTGGCAATCCGTCGAGCGTGCGTCGTATGATTCGGAAGCAAGACTACGTGCTGCGTGCTCCGCAAGTGGTCACTATGCGTGTCGTGCTTCCGCTTCTGTTGCGCACGATGGTGGATTTTCGAGTTTACTATGCGTTTACCGTTAATTTAGAGCGTGATGCAAAGGTGGCCGCGAAGGGAGATGTGTTGAGTGCTGTTTTGTGGAACAATGTGCTACGCGCGAGCTCGGCCATTCGCGCCATCGCCAAGTCGTTTGCCGTGCAATGCTTGGTGGACCGCCAGATCGATGCAGGATCGAAGCTGCTGCATTACCTGCTCTTAGCCGAAGAGGAGTCGCTTTTGCGTGATCGCGTTTTGCTTCATGCAGTAACAGAAGTCGTGCTGGAGCAAGTAAGAGTGGCTGCTGCAAGCGTTGGCAGTAACAATAGTAGTGATGTTGGATCGGCTTCTGCTGAGAATGGTGAAGTGACGATGACGTTGAGCGAGCAGCTGCGAGCCTTGGAAGTGTGGAAACATATTGTTGATCGCTTTTTTGTCGACGTGTTGGCTGAGCGTATCCACGTAGCTAGGAAAGCAACCGGATCTAGTGTTAAATTTGCGGAAGGTGCAATTGAACAAATCGAGGATGGGCACAACGCTGTAGCCTCAGGCGCAGCATCGTCGAAAAAGCGCAAGCGACAGCAAGTGGTACGAAGCTTTCCGATTCCAGTATTTCACGAGAAGACAGTGATGATGCTATGGTCTTTGTTTGCGATGGTTGAAAAAGAAGGCTCCGCGACCGGTGTCGATGCAATGATCACTTCGTACCTCATGAAGACCTTGAAAGTCTTGCGCGTAAACTGCTTGTGTATAGAGGAATTTGAAGCACTGTGGAACAGCTCTGTGTTTGGTGGCTGCCGGTACTATTATGAGCTAATGTTGGCCAAATGTCCTGTCGTGCAAACGGAATTGTTCGCTACGTTGCCATCAGACGTCAAGACTGGAGATAGTACCGTGCAAGAAGAAAAGCTTGAAGCCACTGCCGGTACTGAAACGCATGGTGTAGATGATGACGCAGAACGCACTCACATGGCTGCTACAGTTGACCCTGTGGCACAAGGTACAGAGGCTGACGCACGACGTACCACCACGACAGATACCGTCAATCGTGCGATGCAAGGTGCAGACTCTGACATCGACAGCACTGCTGGGGGGAGCGCGGCGGTCACGTTGGACGATGTAAAAGTTGAGACTGGCGAAAGCAGTGGACCTGAGAGATGTGTGGATATGAGGAATGGGGTTCAGGGTGACGATGCTGGCTTAGCTCCAACAGGTGATGCCACAAACGTCGAAATAAGGTCTGAGGATGCAAGTCCTGAAGTTGCAACGAAATTGACAGGTGTTCAAGGCGCGAGCATAGAAGCCAGTGGGGCAGATAATGTTGATCCTCACTTGGTTCCCTCGACTACGAGCAACGTCGTCGGTCATAGCATCGAAACCGCGAAGACTGATGCTGAGTCTGTAGCTGAGCACAATTGCGAAAGCGACGTTAAGATGGAACGCGCCGACGACAATTTCGAGCTGAAAGGCGGCAACACGACCACCGGTATTGAGGTTTACGCTAGTGTTGTTGCCGATACTCCAGCGCAAGCATCCGAGACTAGTGATGGATCCACCGCTCCAGCCAGAATGCAAAGTAGAGCCGACCAAGACGTTAGCAACAACGCGAGTGTCAGTGTGGATACTGATGACTCACCGAAGAAAGTTGTCGTGAAATTAGAAGCAATTCGTGAAGAGCAAAGAAAGGAACAAAAGGGGGAGTACACAGAACGTGGTTGAGGTGGAAACGGAGGCGTGATGAGACGAAACGGTTGGGCTGTGCGTCATAATGAATTCAGCGTTGTTATTACTCAAGCTGGTATCTTAATGGTAGATATCGTTGGTCATGTAGAGCACGAAAGTGAATCAGTAGGAGGGAAGAAGCTTCATCGACTGCAGCAGGATAACGCACCTTACTTCAGGTGCAAGGCGTATCAGTGCACAATACGTCGATGGTAGGAACAAACAACGAGTCACTGCAACTGCATGACCAACCTATCGCCTGAACCTCGGTCAGCAACGGCAAGCGCCTGCACCTGTTATGGTACCCAAAGGTTTCGAGTGATCGGCAACGACGGATATGGAAGTATCTTGCCGACACAGGCTGACGTTCGTGCGAAAGCGACATGCTCATCTAGTGTGTGCGTGCAGCAGTATGTGCGAGCTGTGACCAAGCTGGCCATTGGTGCTTGTCCAAGTCGAGGGGCTGATTGACGGATATTCGTCATAAGTGTGGCCATGATCGAGATCAAACCTTTGGCACGGAACGGCTTTCCTGAGTAACGCAAGACGTCTATCATTTCTAGCTCATTGCTGGAATCTTGACGGAGCCTGCAGCGGGTGCCAAGATCAAGCAAACATGGGATAGGCGTTGCGTTGTCGATGCAAGTGGCGGCTTTGCACGTGAAAGTCGGACCAAGAATTATGGTACTTGTGAGCACAACGAGCTTTTCAGTTACAAGGACTGGATAGCGTGTTTCGCGTGAAACCCATGTCGGATCGAACGGGTGCAATTGCAGTTGGTGGTACAGCTACTGCGATTACGTGCTTCTGATCGTAGGCGGGCAAGCCGCTCGCTAGATTCGAACAAATGCCTCCGAGCATCATCTGTTGTGTACATCAAATTCAGATGAATGAAAGACGAGCAAGCACTCGGCTTTGCATGAATTCGACGACTTTGCAGTATTGATGGGATGTACCGCCTGCACTAGAATCTTTACAGGCAAGTAGCATGCGGCCCGGAAAGACGTTTGCCTTCTCTGTCCAGTGTAACTTCGCAACGGGTCCATTGAGCACATGCCCTGCAGTCACCCGCACATCACCTTTAGCTCCCCAATCTTGCATTCATAGCCAGTAGTGGGCGCGGGTGCGGCGCAGTAATCATCAGCTCAGCAACTGCTTGATCATGCAGTGGCTCGTGATCATGCAACACTCAATAACTCGACAATGGCTGCGACCACTAACGCAAATCTCGCGAACATTCCGAAGAGAGCAACTTGCTGTGTATTCCTCCCTCCTCGTTGCCCAGGCTGCTTCCAGCTAGCTGTATATGAACGCAAGTCAACAACTGACACTAGCGCCAGCATATTGTCGGCATGCCCGAGCATGCGCTTTCTTCCCGCGGTAAAGTAACGACGGCGGACATGTTAGGCACTACCTGCTTGCTGGTGAGGTTGCGACAACACACAAACGAATCCATTCACGTCAGCGTGGAACGATCCGCAGTTGCAGGCGCATGATTGTCTGTCCAACCTGAGAAGAATTGCAAAGCAACTAGAGGTGTACCATTTGCGAAAATCGACTCCAGATACGATTCGCCCACTTGATGTCTAAGCGAAGTACGCGTCGCTCATGCCCAACAGGGTCGCTCCTAGTTCTTCAAAGGCATCGGAACTCATTCCCGCACGCGTGAACTCGTGCAGCGTGCGCTTGTCCGCTCTAGTTGCTAGTTGCGCTAAGGTAGTCAGGTACATTCCGGTCCGACTGGAAAGTTCCAGCTGACAGATCGCATCAACTGACGAGTTTTGCAGCGTCTGGAGACGATGAGGTACTGATAACGTAACCGGCGTAGCATCAAACCAATGTAAAGCGACCTTACGAGCCGAAATCGGGAAGGCCTCGATCGCATGGCGTAACGACGGGTAGTTCATAAATGCTCCACGGAAGTAAAGACGTCGGTAGTACGTCTTCTTGGCGGAGTCTGCGTTGGTCTCACGTGCAGAGGAGCACGGTCGAATGGTTGGAAGAAGGGAGCAGCTATGGAATGGATCGTTTACCACAATGCTGTTGCGACTCACTTCGTTCATCACACTGTCACGGATGCTATGGAGCAGTGGTATCGGATCACTTGTGTGCGGGAACGAAGCACAGACTTCGGCAACTTTCATGCCCGGGTGAAACCCCTCCAGCATCGCATGCACTGGTCGGCCTTGGTGAGCTGATATTGCTACTGCGAGTGCAGTAGCGACGACTGAACTAACGTCAGCACAGCTTGACCGATCCAAGTTGAGCTCCGGGAATTTGCAGTCGGACAACGACATCGACGACATTGCCACAGGCACCACAAGATGAGATACGTCCGACAGCAACGCCATGGACGATGCCAAGTTTACACGCTTCCTCGCTTCGATTTTGGCACGGTCTTGTGCCTTCAGTGCGGCTTGTAACAGCGCGTCGTCGTTTGCCGTGACCATCGGATAACTCCAATCGTTACCCACCATCACAGTCACTGCACTCGGACATTCTTCTGCAACGTACGTCATCACTTCATGCGCCAAGCCTCCCCACGACGAGTCCATGTCCACGAGACTCTGCACGACTCTGAGCCGGTCACAAGTCTCTAAAACTGTCCGCACGCGGTCTTCTGCTCGCTCAAGCGTCGCATTGCCAATGCTTCCTCCGTTTACAGCTGAACGCCCTTCGTAGAAGTTATGCAAAGACATATGCGGACGAAATTCATCCACCTCGAAGAGGTTGCGCTCGTCGAGTCGTTCCCAGCTCCAGAGCTTATCGTCAGCCCGTCGTTCAACCACGTTCGACTGGTCGTACACTTGTACATTTCCGTTCCTCGTCAGACACAAAATCATAGTTTGGCAGGTTATGGTGCAGTCAGCACTTCTTGAATATCAAACTTCACGAAAACCTTACGAGACGGACATCGTCCTACCACATTGCGTCATCTTCTGGCTGGTCAACAGCAGCGCGGACATGTCGGCGTACACGCCCTTTGGCTTCGAACGCGAGCACGTGCGGCTTCTTCATAGCTTTGTGCAACTCTTCGATGGCCAGCCATTGCGTGCCGATTGTCGTGGCAGCCGTGCCGAATTGCAGACGTAGCGTCTCGTTCTCCATGGACGGCCAATTGATAGCAAAGTGTCCGATGGCGACTTTCCAAAATAGTAAAAAAGCAAATGTTTGACAAATGTGGGGCGCACATGTCGGAGCAATTTGACTATCTGAAATATTCAGTGCGGATAGGAATGATATAGCCACTACTGATTTTTGACCTATTAACTCAAAAATAAATCGAATCAAAAAGTGTAAATATAGCCAATTGAAAGCGCTGGACAAGAGCCTCATGTTGCGACATCACTTTTGAAAACTGGAGGCCTACATACAGCCTTAGGAACGCCAAGAAGAGTGGAGAGGGCAGTAAAATGATGATATGGCCACCATGCATCGCCGCGCGACATGTCCCGTCGCGGCGTTGTTTTGGGTCCGTTGTTTTTGTTGCAATGCCTGCTTGCTGACGCTACTTGTATGATCCTATTGTCGACAGAAGTATGCCGAGAGGCAAGAATTTGACGGAAGAAGAGATGGAAAAGGTGATAGCCTTCCATGAGACAAAAATGAGTAATCGAGAGATTGCCCGAAGCAAGGGTCGATCCCGAGGCATCGTTAAGCACTTCTTGAGCGACCCCGTTGCCTACAGTGCGTATAAACCAGCCGGAAGACCACCAGTTTTGACTGAATTGGCTCGACGCTGACTGCTTCGGGTCACTCAGGGGTTGGGGTGAATTATCAGCACGGGAGCTCCATGCACAACTTTACTTCCTGTAAGTGTTTCTCGAGTCAAGCAGCTTTTAAATGAAAGCCCTACGCTCAAGTTTCTTAAAGCAGCTCGTGTCAAATGGTGTGTTGAGAGATGCCGTCTCTCCGATGAAGATTGGACCAAAACTATTTTTTCGGACGAAAAGAAGGTTAATCTGGATGGAACAGATGAATTACAAGGCTATTGGCACGACTAAGGAAAAAACACAGTTTTTTTGACTCGTCAATCCGGTGGTGGCTCGGTCATGGTTTAGGGTGCCTTTGGAGGCGCTAAGACAAGCATGTTGGCTTTCTTAGAGGGGAAACAAAACAGCAAAAAGTCAACGCAAGTACACTGAAAAACTATCTAGTGCCTTTTTTGGACGAGCTGGGTGGTAGTCAACTGACTTTTTCAGCAGGATAACGCGTCGATACACCATTCTCGGTATACGAAGGCGTGGTTTGCGGACCAGAATTTTTCTGTTATTGACTGGCCAACGAATTCGCCGGACTTGAACCCGACAGAAAACTTACGGGGGGTGCTTGCCAGGACCGGATGTAAGAACAGGCGGCAGCTTGGGTCGCGAATTGAGCTGATCGAGTGCATTTCAAAGTGCTGGAGAGAAATTGGTGCCGCTTACCTCCAGAAGCTTGGCCATTCGATGCACAATCGGTGCGTGGAATGCTGAAATACCGGGGTAAGAAGACTGACTATTAGAGGCTCCTAGCAACACGAAGGTCGATGGGACAATCAGTTTTTCTTTTGGTGGTTGTAACGGGGCAGCCCGTTACATGAAATTGTCACTTTCCTTAAAGTGACAATAAAGAATATAAAGATGGATATTCTTTAAACAATATCACGAAAGTGGTGATATTGAAGGGTCGACCAAAGGGTCTGTTCATTGGTTGATATCGTGATGATATTAACCCACCAATCGCCGCAAGACGCGCGCAATGAGTGGTGACGAGACGTCACCATACATGCAGTTATATTAGTATAATTGAATTAAGTCAAACGAAGAGACAGTAGTTTAAAGACTTAATTATATTAATATAACAGTTCTACTTTTACCCTACCTACGCTTCCTCGCTCGCCACGTGTACGTCCGTCGGGGCACCCAAATCCATTGCGTTAAGTTACGCAAGGGTGTGCCCCGTTACACCTGGGAGCACTTTGTAGTCCTTCCAAGGACCACATCATCCAACATGAACATGTTGGATGAAGAAGACACCTTTCACGCCACGCGTGAAGGGTTTACCCATTTGAGTGACATCGAATGGGGTGCGGTAGAACGAATGAGTTCTACCGTAGGCGAACTCGTCGTCAGCACCATGTTGGAGTCTCTAGACAGAGACCAACAACACGCTGCTATCGCCAAGTTCATTCACAATGAACTTGCTCTCGAGAGGGAGAAAGTAGCCTTGCTGCACCAGCAAGGCTCTCAACAGGCCGAGCAGTTGAGAGAACTCGGTGCTCAACAGACGGAGCTGTTGAGACAGCAGCAATTCCATGCTGCTGTGGGCGGGACGGCGCATGCGCGTCGTCCCGAAGTCATGAAAGTTGACATTTCCAAGTACAGTGGAGTCCCGGAGGACTCCCTGTTACTATGGTTTGTCGAACTCGACAGAGCCCTAAGGGCTCGTCGCGTCGAAGATGAGCAAATGAAACTCACATTTGCTCAGACCCACTTGGCAGGGCGTGCCAAAACTTGGTCCCTGGGACTCGAGAGTAGCGACCCAAACGTGTTTAGGTCGCTAGATGACTTCAAGTCCCGGCTCAGACAAACGTTTGAGCCGCCACGTGCTGAGTTCAGGGCTCGTTCAGAGCTCCTGAAACTCAAGCAGGGTAAGCGTGATGTGCACGCTTACGCACAACATATTCGACTCCTTGCGAGTAGTATAACTGCAAACCCAGTTCATGAACACACGTTGATTACGGTGTTCATGCAAGGGCTCGCAGAAGGGCCCGTCAGGAGCCACCTGTTCCGCCTTGAGCTGAATACGCTTGACGAAATCGATATCAGACGCGGAACAGGAAGACTTTAGCATGAGACAGGCTCATGCTAGCTCAAACTCTTACCGTCCACCGAGACGACAAGAGATCGGAGGTCCAGAACCAATGGACCTCTGCTATGTTGAGAGCGAGAGACCTCGCTCTACAAGCAACAAGCGATTGCAGAGGTGCAATCGCTGTCAGAAGTTAGGGCAGTACGCATACGAGTGTAGTGCTCCACGCCCAGTACCAAACAGTACTGAGCGAAATGGACGACCATTCGCCAGAAAGGGCAATGGGCGTGGGTCCAGCGCTGTTGCGAAGCCGCAACAGCGAGACGGACCATCAAAAAATGGTCGGGGTCAGTAGGGGCGGAGCGCCCTACTGATCCAGCAACCTCAAGAGAATTTGCAAATCTCTTGACGAAAGTTGCTCCAGATACACAGTCATTGTGTGTCTCTGCACCTGGTGATGACGTTTCGCTCATCACCTTGAAGTTGGAAGCGACAAATGATTTGTCGCTTCTTGCCCTAGTAGACTGTGGGGCGTCGAACAACTTTGTTCGTCGCCAGTCACTAGAGGGTCGTAGGCTCAAGTTCGTTGAGCGCGACATTCCCCTCACAAGGATGACGGTGCGCCTTGCAACAGGCGCATCGATAGCCGTTGATAAACGTGTAGTAGGAATCCACTACACGTTAGAGGGCGAACAGTACGATGATGACTTCATCGTACTGGATCTGGATGACAAATTTGATGTCATCCTGGGATTACCTTGGCTCAGAAAGTACGAGCCAATGGTGAGCTGGCAGCCTCGATCCGTGAAGATGCCTGCCGCTTGTTCATCAGATGGCCATCTGATGAACATCTTGGAGCGTCCACAAGCGTGTGGATGTTCTGCGAGTGAGTGCGACGGCCTCGCTTGCGGTACGGTCGTTAGCACGACTGCACAAGATCACAGTGTAGTTAATCACTACACTGTGGAGCAAGCTCCCGGCGGCTGTACAGATGTACAGGCTGCGCCGAAGGTCCACCAATCGAATAAGTCGAGTGGACCGGGACATGGATGCATGCCTAGCGGGCAGCATCTTAGAAGAAAGAAATCTGTTGCCCCCAAGGGGCAACATGGACATCCTAGGTCGACTGGAGAGTCGACCGTAGAGGATCTGTGCCTGAATGTGGTTGCACAGCCGCAGTCAGAAGACGTCGAGGGAATAAGTCCCCATGTACTTGAGGAAGGAATTCCTCAAGAGTCGCTTGCTGAGGGATTAGGCCCTCAGCAACCTGTGGAAGCAAGTTTCCAGGAAGAAACCGAGACGTTGAACGTCTTGGTTAATGACGGATCAAGCGTAGGCGCTTATACGCTTGATCTGATTGTGCCTCCGAAGTTGACTTCGGAGATAAGTCAGTTGCCAACGCTAGAACCGAAACGGTTCTTGCGTGATCTGCGTAGTGGCAAAGTCAAGCAGATCTGCATACTCGTCACAGAGGATGTGTATGTGGCCGATATTCGGTCGGCTACAGTATTTGCTGAGAACGAACGAGTTCTCAGCAGATCATCGATGGACGATAGTGTCCTCGATGAAAAGACTCAGATTGAGCGATACACGTCTCAATCCTGGAAGTCACTTCAGGCAAATCCTTTGTATAAGTATTTGATCGAATTCAAGGATGTGTTCTCTGAATCCCTATCGTGCTAGTTGCCTAAGGACAAAGGCACTCGACACGAGATCGAGCTCAAACCGGGCTCGAAGTACTGTGTCATGAAGCAGTGGCCACTGCCTCGTGAACAAGTACTAGCGATCGACAAGTTCTTTGCCGATCGCTTAGCAGCGGGCCATGTGAGGGAATCAACATCCCCTCACAGCTCTCCGACCTTCTGTGTGCGAAAGGCCACAGGAGGGTGGCGGATAGTGCACGCATTCAACAAGTTGAATGCTGCAACGGTACCGGCTCAGACGCCGATACCGAGGAAGGACGTAATCATCGATGGTATGTCAAAGAGTACCATCTTTTCGTCCATGGATCTGATGGATGGATTCTATCAGATCCTGATGCGTGAACGGGACGTCCCGTTCACGGCAGTGAGTACCCCCAGCGGGATGCTGTGGGAGTGGCTAGTGATGCCACAGGGGCTGAGTAATGCCCCTGCAACATTCAACAGATGTCTAACAAATCTGTTGAGACCGGTGCGAGACTTCGCACCGAGTTACTTCGACGATGTGTTCGTTCATAGCCGGGCTATGGACGGGAAGACGGACGTTGAAGTTCACAGAACTCACGTTCGTCAGGTTCTTCAGCTTATGCGCAAGCATAAGTTGTACGCCAACCT